GGAATAGTGCCAACACTCTTGGTATTCGGCTCGTACCCACGAATTACCGACGATTCGCCGCCATCTCCCGAAGTCACAAGGCGGGCGAAAGCGATTAAGAAGGCGACGAGCGAAGTACGCGAACTTCACGCAAGGCGACAGGTGGCAGAAGCTATCGCCACCCGCAATGGCCCTGATACAGGGCCAATTGTTAATTTACCGCTACGGTCGCAAGTACGAGTATGGCGCGAAAAGAAGGGCTGGACCGGACCGTTTACTTTAGCAGCCATAAACGGCGAAACCTGTACTGTCGATACGCCACGTGGTCCGAAGACCTTCCGGTCTACCGTAGTCAAACCATACTACGAAGATCCCGATCAACCACCTAATTCCATCGCCGCGCCAGAAGAAGAAGAACCCGAAGCTAAGATACCGCAGCAGGAAGTAGTACGCGACGAAATTATCGTCGCCGGCGGAGGCAGTGAACCGGACGAACCGCAAGAGGCACCGGAGCCACCGAGAAGACGCCCGGGCAGACCCCGGAAGAGACCACTGCCAATCGCCCACTTCACAGAGGAATTCAACGATGACCCGGATTATCAACAAATATTCCTATCGATTAAGGAGCAAGCAGACGAAGAATTAGCAATCAAACTACGACGAGAAGGTGTTATTACTACACCAGGCGAACCGTTCGAACAGTCAACTAAACAAGAGATCAACAGCCTCATCGCTAGAGGAGTGTTCAAATTCACCCAGTTCAATAAGAGAAGGCACCAGAACGTACGAATCTTCCGATCTCGTATCGTCAACGAAGTCAAGGGTAAAACAACCGAACCCTACGAGAAATCGAGACTTGTAATACAGGGTTACGCCGACGATAGCAAGAAGGCTATATTGACCCAATCGCCAACGATTCAACGGGCGAGTCAACGGCTAATTCTGTCAATTACCCCGTCACTCCTACGAGAAGGGAAACAACTATGGCTTCGAGATATCACACAAGCCTACGTTCAATCCTCCACAAGGCTCAATCGTACTATTCTCGCCTACCCACCGAAGCAAATTCAAGACCAGTACCCAAAAGGGACCATTATGGAGGTTGTGAAGCCTCTGTACGGAATCGCAGAAGCTGGAACCCACTGGTGGGCAACGTATCACAAGCATCACAGAGAGAATCTCCAGATGGTTACTTCTTCGTACGATCCATGCCTATTGATCTCATCTACCGAAAATCCACACTTTGGCTGTATCGGCATGCAAACCGACGATACCCTCGGTTTGTCAGACAAGGCGTTCTCACAATTAGAAGACGAACAGTTAGAAAAAGCGGCTTTTACGGCAAAAGCGAAGAATATCCTCACAATTGACGAACCCCTCCAATTCAACGGAGGGATAATCGCGCTGTCAACCGACAATTCGATCAATTTGAGGCAAAAGGGACAAGCTAAGAAGTTACGATGTATTGAGACTACTAAACCCAACCCAAAACAGCAATATGTCGAACAACGCGCCAGAGGGGCGTACATCGCGTCAATTTGCCAACCCGAGGCCTGTTTCGATTTATCCACTGCTGCCCAACACCAAGACCCCTCGCCAGAAGCGATAAAAGCACTGAATCAACGGATTCGATGGCAAATAGAATCGCCTAACCGAGGAATAACGTTTATCCCACTCGACCTTACAACAGCCAAGCTATTCGTTTTCGTTGACGGGTCGTTCGCTAATAACCACGACCTCTCCTCCCAATTAGGGTTTCTGATCATCCTAGCCAACGACACTTCCTCTGACAGCAACAACGGAGAATTCACGATTCACGGTAACCTCGTTCATTACAGCTCTACGAAGAGTAAACGAGTCACCCGCAGCGTATTAGCGTCAGAGATCTACGGGATGGTCGCTGGCGTCGATATGGCCTACGCCCTCGCCACAACCCTGGCGACAATCACTGACCACCTCAACCTACCAACGATTCAGACAGTTGTCTGTACCGATTCCTATTCGCTGTACGAGTGTCTCGTGAAGCTGGGCACTACCAAAGAAAAGCGACTCATGATCGATATCATGGCGTTGAGACAATCGTACGAAAGACGAGAACTACAAGAAATTCGTTGGATTAACGGCGAAGACAACCCTGCTGATGCCCTCACGAAGAGCAAACCAAATCGAGCCCTCGAGAGATTCGTTGATAGCAACACGATAACGATACGTATGGAGGGATGGGTAACAAGACCGTAACTACGGGAGAAAGTAGGGATAGGAGGCCGAATTGACGAGGAGACGGAACTGTATAGGGACAACGTATTCCAACCGCTTCAACACCATAAAAAGAGAGTTTCCAGTGTTGCGATAGTTGGAATACGGAGTCGTGTGGCACTTCCAGCCACACGCCCGCCAGGCTGAGAGGCCCAAGCCTCCCAGACCCACGTGACAGGCCAAGGGGGAATATCCCCACCTTCTAGTCAACAACACCACTTTCAACAATCATGAACCATCGATTAGAACCAATTTACTGTTATTTGTTATTGACGAACGGAATTCCGTTTCACCCCCTGTGAAACCTACAGAACCACTTCCACGCGGGTTTCCGATAATTGTAAGATATACATTATGTATTATGTTCTTCAATCGAATCGAATTGGGCACCTAAAGTAGCAAGAAAACTGAGAAGATTTCCTTTATTACAATTGTACAAACATGACAATGCTTTTACTGTTATTCGCTTTTTGCTTTTAGCTTCTGGCTCTTTTGTCGTGGGATTTCATCTTTTATTCTAACTACCTTATTCCCTTTGGGGACTGAGTAGTGTAATGAATTGAGCAAAGAATTTTACTCTTGTCGTAAAACTCTTTGTATTAGACATGCTCTCCTGCATTTAATTGTACGTTGTGTTGGAGGCAGAAGCCACTCGTATGCTCTACTACCACAGGTGTTAATGTAAGACTTTCGTGTTTAGCCTTAGCATTCGCATTGCCGCATATAACGATCTACAGACTGCTTCCCAAAACTGATTTAAACTCAATGGTTTCTCATATCTTCTTCTGTCTTAGAAAACGCGTCAATTTGACTCCCAAAAGTTCCAATAATACTGGATCATGAAGACATTTATCTACTCCATTATCACGAGCTATGCTTGGGGTAGAAGCGGAATTCAAAACTTCAAGTTGGCCAGCGGGCCATGAAGACAGGGCTCGGGTAGTTCTAATGATACTTAACGCTCTTCGTGGACGAAACCCTAGACGCTTGCTCATTTACCAAAAGTCTTCTTCTCACCTTAAGTTTGAATTTCATAGTAGACGGGTCCTAGGCTTGATCACGAGGCCTATCAAACATAACTCACAGGTCGCGAAAAGGGCAAAGCTGTCAATATACAGGAACAACAGAATTCTGCTGAAAGAGCGATATATCTAGCAATCGCAAGCGATAAGGCATCTCATCTTGAAGTCGGCATACATAAAGTTCTGTATCAGCCTTTGTAAAAACGAATGCCGCAACCCGGATGTGCCATTCTGTAGGTTTCGCAGGCGTGAAATAATCCCGTTCAGGTGCAAAAAAACAAACAGTAAATTTCTAAAAATCTTAATTTCCGGTCATAGTGGTGTCTTCGATGTGAAAGCGGGAGATACGGTTCCCCAGCCCGTCATATATGGAAGGGAGGAAGCCGTGCCGTCTAACAGCACGTTCTAGCCGTATGGTATGTTAACACTTTCACCTCGCTCCACAGAATAATTGCTCTGGTGCTCTGAAATTATTTTAAGTTTAAATTCATAAGACTTTTGAATTTTGTTTTAAATATCTAATTCGCAGTGGTTTAAGACTAGCCTGTTCGACTTTGATATATAAGAAGAAGGTTGGGTCTCAAGCCCTTTTCTTTTGGCCGTCAGACGTGCGCGATAAAGAGTGAAAGGGTCAATTAGGGGGTTTAAGGTGACCTCATTCATGTTTAGTCTCTCCGATTCTCGGTGGCCTTTAGGTGGTCTTATAATAGCCCTTGGTGTTCCTTGCTCGTCTGTCCATCACGTAGCCCTTTGCAGGTGGCACTGGTCTAGTACCAAATTTCACCAGCCGCAGTCTGTCCAATGCACAATATTGGATGATGAATGCATTAATCTGCGTGGAAAGTAATGTTTCTCTTGCTCTTTGGGAGTCTGGGACTGGTAGTTCTGTCTATGTTTTTATAGTGATTGTCGTGATTTCCATTTTTTTCGGCTGCAACTGTGCCTTACACTAGAATCTTACTCTGGTTTCGAGCCGCTTCTTTAGGGAATATTTCTTTTATATTTTGGGCACCTCTGCATAAATCAAGTTGATGCTAAATTTGTCTCAGTTACTGCGTTGTGTGTCGATCTTTCTTCCTATGAAGACGTATCGGGCAGCGAGCTTAATAACTCACAAGCAAAGTTACTCCCCTTCAAAGAACAGAGCATAGACAAGTGAATGCAAGTCAGATGCCAGCTGAATTTGCCATAAAATTAATATAAAGATATTGGCGGATATTGGTTGCTATGTTCTTAAAGCAAACATTGAATATGCAACGGTTGTTTGACATTTCTTCACCAGAAGGTTGCCACAGTTCGAGACCAAGCATCTCTTCTTTGCAATGAAAGAAATCACTTGACGAGGTCTATGTCACCGTCAATGTCTTAGTTAAAATGAAGTTATCTGCATCTTAATACATGCAAGTATGGATTGGTCATGTACAAAACCCAACAGGGAAACATGCAGGATCAAAAAGTATCCTCTTAGATCGTTTGGTTCTTCTATAGTTAGGTATTTGCAGTACGAAAGGTTATGCTAAACTAGAGAAGATTTTGGTTGAGCTGGTACAACTGGGATGAAGCCACAAAGCAAGGAGCTTCCTATGACGCAAGAAGTTAAACGAGATGGAAAGATTTTCCTGATTTTGCATGCAATTATAAACGACGTCATAAGATACTTCTTTGTATAAATTAATTAATATCTGCTAAGCTTCACTACATGCTGCTTCTTTCTCCATTTGATTGAGTTTGTGGTTTTATTTCTTAGGCGATGGGGCAGTTGATGTTGCTACAGAGTAATGCCTCGTCAGTTTTCCATTCATGCGACATTTCCTTTGATAGGTAGGTACTTACGCGGCATCGAATCCAGTGATTCCGAAGGGCTGCTTTCCGTTGACTGTGCACTTGGCAAAAACGCCCTTGACAATCTGTTCCGAGGTGGTACCACAGTCAAGGGTCCAAACCTTGCCGCTCTTGCCGGTAATGTCAATATCGCTACCGACAGTGACATACTGGTTGGCGATTCCGTCACCGTTGAAGTAGCTTAGCGTTGGTCAGCCTTCCTTCTTGAAACCGGCAAAATATCTTAAGGGGAGAATAGAGGCTCTAGTCAGGTTGTTAAGTGTCTACATACCAGCCATAGACAATCTGGCGACTCTCAACGGCAGGGGCAGCCTGAGCGCCAACAAAGAGAAGAGCAGCAGCGACGGTAGTGAAGGAACGCATTTTGATGGTGATGAAAAAGAGATTAATCAAAAGAATGACTGTTGTTTAACGAGAGTTCAAAACGGCAATGGAGTGATAGTGTCGAGGTCACTTTGATGCGGCAATGGATGATACACAGGTTCATTTATACAAAGGCGCGGCGCTTGCGACTTTCGTATTGTGACGATCCTTAGGATTTGACTTCGTGCCGATGCACCCATAGTGGAGGCAACACGAGTCCAATGGGTATTGCGATATTTCATGCGCAGATCAACTGTTGGCAACGTCAGGCATACTCCTAGTCAGTGGTTCATTACCGGAAGAGCCGTGTACAAAAATAGTGGTAGTAGTTCATCCAGTGCCGGAATTCAATAGGGTTTAATTGTGGCATCATAGCCGCCTGCAGTGGGGATGTTGCGATAGTTGGAATACGGAGTCGTGTGGCACTTCCAGCCACACGCCCGCCAGGCTGAGAGGCCCAAGCCTCCCAGACCCACGTGACAGGCCAAGGGGGAATATCCCTACCTTCTAGTTAACAACACTACTTTCAACTATCATAAACCATCGATTAAAACTAATTTACTATTATTTGTTATTTGACGAACGGAATTCCGTTTTACCCCTTGTAAAACCTATACTGATTAGTAGTAAACCTTATAGTTGCTATTAATTTGGTTAACTTTATAATTACTACTCTGCTACGGATAAACCGTAGATTAGCAAGGTTAATACTAGAAGAGACGACTTCTTGAACTAGATACCTAAGCTGTTACGACCCGTTAGATACACCTAACAGGACCCACTCGGTTGGGCGGTTATGACAGGTGTCACACGGACCACTGCATATATCGGGGCATGCATTCAACCCATGCACCCGGCTATTGTTTCCCATATAAAACTAACGGGGATGTCATTTTGTGCATGAAAACCTTCAAATCGGTAATTACCGAATAGACGGTTATATAATCAACCCAATAACCCCTAGACAGTCTCTAATGAATGGAAGCATCTTTTTTTACCACATAAGTGGTGGGCAAATTGACTGCGTGACAGTTATGAGCCCAGTACCTCATGGTGACAATTACCAATTGAAAAACCGACTTCCAGAAGGGAGCAGTTCAGACTTATGCCATAGACAAGGGCACTCAATTGACGAAGTTACCGACCCATGAGACTTTGGCAGTCAAGTCCACCAAACAAAACATCAATTCCAATCACACAAGGCTGAACGTTGAAGTGTTGAAACATTCAATCACAAAAGAACTTCTGGTCATCAATTCATATCATCAACACTTATCAAAAAATCACAAAAAGTTCATCTCAACTCAGGGGGACTTACCACATCTGAGGAGTTGAACCCAGGACTCTTAACTTGAACCTTATATAAGTTCATGCTCGACCATACCACTGATACGCAGCCAGGAGGGTTGGAATTACGAAACGGAAGAGACACCTAGTTGCTCATTTTATGCCTCTGAAAGCTTCGGGCAGATAAGACGAACAGGTGGTTCACTTTATAGTCTTCGTGTAACGGAACCGATAAGACTTTTTACAAATTGCGAAAACTCCACAACCCTGAATTGAACCCACGAAGGGGAGCTTGCCAGTCTTACGGTCCTTGCGAATAGCTACAAGTTGGGTGGCTAGACCAACTACACTAAACGGCAGGTTCATTAGACAGGGGGGGCGTCTTGCGTTTTGTTGAGAATTGAGGCGTTGAGATTGGCTATATACCCTCAAACCTCTAGGCAACAATCGACAAAATCACCAACTTGAAACAAGAAGTGTCTAGTCACGAACTCAATCTTGGCCACGGCGAAAAACCAACTGCACAACGATCAGAAGAGAGAGACCAGTTCTCTTTTCAAGAGAGATCATGAATTCAACTACGGAAACTGCAAAATACACACAGCGGCTACAGACTGACAGCGACTGGAACCACTGGTTCAACAACTTACAGATGCTGGCAAACGTTCATGAAGTCTGGGACTATGTGAATCCAAAAGGAACCAAGATTAATACTAAGCCAAGATTGGAATTCCCAGACCCAAAAGACCTCAGACAAGAAGAACGAGCAAACTATAGCAACGTTATCAGCTATGGAAAAGCTATCTATCAAGAAGAAAAAGACCAATACAACCAGGTTCGGCGAAGTCTTCTAGAAATTCACAGTTGGATCATGAACACTGTAGCAGCCACTTATATCAGCCAAGTCAGCAAGGAGCAAACAGTCAGGGATATCATAAAAGCTCTTGAAAAACAGCTAGCGCCAGACAACTTTGGGAGACAACAAATGGTATTGGAAAGATATAACAAGCATATGCTATCAATCAAAAGAGCAAAACTTGGAGGATGGCTCATAATCTATCGAGAAATCATGGATGAAGCCCAAACAATCGGAATCCCTGCTCTCAGCGATCCAGTTACTCAAGTCTCTGAGTTCTTGAAAGCAGTCAAGCAAATTGCACCAGATTACTACACATCTGCCTCTTACGACTTCACAAAGCGATACAAGGATGACCCAACCTACAGTTCGATCAGCAAGACTGCTGGAATTGAGCAAGCTAACGATTTCCGCAGTTGGGTGAGAACTTTCCACCCAGACTGGCTGAATGCTGCTCCATTAAAAGACACGAGTTTCGCTACTTGGCAAGGAGAAAACGAACAAGGAATAAAACAGGGGGCAAAACGAGAGCAAAAGTGTGCAGCTTGCCCAAACGAAAGTCACCGATTTGTTGATTGCAAACATGCCAACCCTAAGAAGCGAGGCCCAAACTATCATGAAGATAATCCAGAAAATAAGAAAGCACTGGAAAGATTGAATGAGTATCTCCAGAAGAAACCACACTTAAAGAGAATAGTTGAAAAACTACGAAAAGGGGCAAGCGATCAGCAGTCTCAAAAGTCCCCAGATCGAGCAACATCTTCCTCAAACTGGAGAAACACTACACAATCATCATCCCACTATACTCAAGAAGTGTCTGATGGAGAAGGATCACTCTCATCTTTCGTCACTATCGTCAATCAAGGAGAAGCAAGTCTCTATTCAGGATTCCCACTGTCAGACAGTGTGATAGTAGACTCAGGAACAGGATTCCACATCTGCAACGACTCCTCAAGACTTCATGATCTCGACTACACAGTCACAAAAGACTTCATCACTGGAGGAGGAGATGTACATGCAATTGCGAAAGGCACAATGATCATCAAACCAAACCAAGGCGGCAAATCCAACAACAAGGAGATCAAAGTCAGAAATGTATGGCTTGTGCCTGGATACCCAACATCGCTCCTTGGGACAGAACCGCTGAAGCAAAAAGGGATCATCTTTACAACAGGAATACCGGGTCTTATCGACTCAAAAGGCAGACTTCTATTCAAAACACCAAACCGATATGGTCAATACATTATTGAAGCTGGCCCAGCTCTGCTGAACAATACCTCGTTCAGCAATACCGAGAAGACTGTGAGATTCAGCCCAACCGTAGAAAGGAAACCAACCAAAGGTTTTCAGTCAACAAGACAACCACTCCCAACATCATCAGCAGAAGCCAAGTTGTGGCATGAGAGACTTGGTCATCCAGGCGCTGAGGGACTGGAACAGCTACTTAAAACAGCTCTTGGGATACAGATAAAAGGAATCACAAAAGTGGAATGTGATGCCTGTGCTGTTGGGAAGGCAACTCGCCAAATTTCCCGCAGAAACCCAGACCATTGGCCAACTGCTGTAGGAGATTATCTATCTCTCGACTTCTTTACACTTAGCAAAGCATACAATGGGGAGAAGGTAATCCTGCTGGTCAGCGATGGCTGGTCAGGGTTCTTCTGGATAAGAACTCTTCGTACTCGAAAGGAGGGACTACAAGCTATGACAGAATTAGCAGCATACCTCGAGAGACAGTGCTTTATCAAAATCTCTATTCTACGCCTAGATTGGGAGGTTGCTTTACGCAATGCGTTTGAACTATGGGCAGCTGTGAATGGATATATGATTGAAAGATCAGCTGAGTACACTGGTGCTCAAAACCCAGCAGAAAGAGCTGGAGGTGCTGTGTTTATGATCATGAGAGCACTTCGATTTCAATCTCGCTTTCCTGAATTGATGGCACCAGAGCTGGCAAAAGCAGCAGTTTATCTGTCAAACAGATTGCCTCGAAGACGCCACAAGTGGCAGACACCATTGGGGTTGGTCAACACTTGGCTGAACTCTCATCAACAGTCTACCCACAAGAGGGCTGAAAAGCCACAACTAGCACACTTGAGGCGATATGGCTGCAGAGCTTACCCCTTGACACAAAACTACAAGAGAGGAATAGAAAAGTCAAACAAAACTGCGCCAAGAGCTCATATTTGCTATCTATGTGGTTATGACAGCACAAATATCTACAGAATCTGGATCCCAGCAATAGGAAAAGTCATGAGAACTAGAGACGTTACTTTCGACGAAAACACGCTGTATGATCCAAGGATTGAGGATACCAGCAAGTTAAGCCAAATGGAACTTGAATTCCAGTTCACAGAAATGGATATCCCATTCACAAATCCAATTGAACAAGACCTAGACACAGCTGGCTGGGATGGAGAAGATTTCAGCGATAATATTACCGGGCCACTACCCGCCTCGAATCCAGCCGCTCAAGAAACAACACCGGCAACACCGATGCAGGAGAAAGAATCAGGGGATTTTCAATTACCTACACCCACTTCTCTATCACCAACAGTACAGCTGTCAGATTCTCAAACAACTGAGGGGGTGAGGGAGACTCCAGAAACTCCAGAAGTATCGCCAACTCCAGAACAATCGGATCAAAGTGAGACCATAGAGGAAACCTCAACAGACCGACTCGAACTACAACAGACACCAGTCATAGAATTGGAACCAGAAGAAATCATACCACAAGATTCCTCCACAGTAATCCCAAACATAGCGAGAAGGGGAAGACCTCGTGGCAGCAGAAATCACAACATCTACAATCGATCAGCCCCTCTTGGTCAAACAAATCAACAGCCACCAGAAGCAACAAGATCATCACAAAGACTGAGAAGAGCAAGAGAATCCCACTTCACACTGCAATCTACGGATACAGTAAAAGGAAGAGATCAATGGGATGCATCAGCAGATGATTTAGGCAATCCACACCAAAAGACACTTCCACCAGTTCCAAAGAATTACAGTGAAGCGATCAAACACCAATACAGTCACAAATGGATTGCTGCAATGAATATTGAGAACAGATCACTATGGCAAATGGGCACGTTTGAAATGATTGATCTTGGCAATATTGATCAAGACACTCAGCGAATTATCCCATTGAAGTGGGTATTCACATATAAGGGCAGCAAAGGATATCTCAAGAAGTTCAAAGCGAGGATCTGTGTTCGAGGAGATCTCCAACCGACAAATGAACTAGAGACCTATGCCTCAACGCTTGCTGGTATATCGCTGCGAAGTCTCATGGCAATTGTGGCGAGATTTGACTTAGAGACTCTTCAATTGGACGCAGTCAACGCATTTACACATGCCACAATTGATGAGGAAGTCTATGTTTGGTTTCCTCCAGGATTCAGACAAGAGGGATACTGTCTTGCCCTGCGAAAAGCACTATATGGATTGAGACGAAGCCCACTGCTATGGCAAAAGAATCTGGAGAGATCATTCAAGAAGCTTGGCCTTATCCCACTCCAAGAAGATGACTGTATCTACACCAATCAATACTTCATAGTATTCCACTTTGTGGACGATATTGGGGTTATATACCATAAAAAGCATGAAACCAAAGTAAAAGAAGCAGTTCAACAACTCAAAAAGGAGTATGAAATGAAAGATATGGGAGAATTGAGTATCTTCCTAGGAGTCAGAATAATAAGAGAACGAAAAACCCGTCAACTATGGATGAGTCTCGACAACTATATATCTAAGGTCACTGAAGAATTCAAGATCAGAACCTCAACCAAGCGACGCCAAACACCTATGGCAATAGATAACCTGGTCCCAAGTCCTGGTCAGGCTACGCCAGAGGAAATCAACTACTATCAACGGAAGGTTGGATCAATCAACTATGCTGGAGTGATTGGCAGACCAGATATAGCTCGAACAAGCTCGAGACTAGCAGAATTCCTATCAAATCCATCTTCTGAACACCAGAAAGCAGCATATGAATGCTTACAATATCTTGAGGACAACAAATACCTCGCTATCGAGTTCAACTGCAAAGGGAAAGGAGTCCTCTACTGCGCCTCAGACGCTTCATTCGCTGATGACTCTGTCACTCGAAAAAGCACTCAAGGATATGTGATGATGCTATTCGGAGGTCCAATTCATTGGAAAGCAGTCAAACAACGAAGAGTAGTCACTTCAAGCACAGAAGCTGAGCTTGCTGCTTTGACAGCAGCCACAAGAGAATATATGGCAACCATTCGACTCATGGAACAATTGAATCTCCAATTAGATGATAAATACATCATGCAATGCGACAATAAGCAAACTCTTCGACTGTTGATTGCTGAAAGACCCCAAGCGACTAGCAAATTACGCCATATCAATATCAACAACTTATGGCTTCGCCAGGAATTACAGAAGGGATCAATTGACTTTCAATGGGTTCCAACCAACGAAATGGTGGCAGACGGTATGACTAAAGCAATGCCAGCCCAAAAACACAACCACTTTATCGCCCAATTGGGTATGGCGAATATTGAACATTTGATCGAGAAGAACGCAGTATGAATCTGGAATTTGGTAGTAAGTATACGGAGTTCTGAATAGTATCATTTCTGTATTTGAATGAGAATACAGAGAATCAACCTACAACAGGTTGCCTCTCTGAGGGGGTGTGTCACACGGACCACTGCATATATCGGGGCATGCATTCAACCCATGCACCCGGCTATTGTTTCCCATATAAAACTAACGGGGATGTCATTTTGTGCATGAAAACCTTCAAATCGGTAATTACCGAATAGACGGTTATATAATCAACCCAATAACCCCTAGACAGTCTCTAATGAATGGAAGCATCTTTTTTTACCACATAAGTGGTGGGCAAATTGACTGCGTGACAACAGGACTTTGTATGCAGGGCCACGGGAACAAAAGGTAACCTCTCGGAACGGAAGAACTATAGAACGGAACAAGTCACGTGATGAATCATTCTAGGTCAGAATGATCCAAGAAGAGTTGGGGGCCAACGGATCATGTTCGATCAATATGATCTCCAACGACTACAGACAATACGTGTAGATAGACTCCTATATAGACCAGGACTTGAGTACCTGCTCAAGCCCTCTAGATAGTTCTTCAGCAATCAACTTGTGATTCATCCTCGAATGACTTTCAGCTTACCTCTCAGTATTGTGAATACTAAGAACCTCGTTACCATAGTGTAAGACTGATCACCTTACCCTAACCCTACGATCTACCAGAACGACCTCTACGAACCAGTGTTAGTCTCTTACTGCACCTTCTGTTAGCAGAACCCTACTGTCAGATAGCTGGCCGTAACATAAGCCTAGGTAAAAGTAGGGATTTCGTGCTAACGAGAGAAGAAGCAAGAGTAACTAAGATCTACGGAAACTAGTAGAAGAAAGCTTCTTTTCCTCGAATCTACTAGCAATCCGATTATTCGAGTAACCTAGGGACTGCTATGCTTACCTTAGGCGGGATAAGGTTAATCGCAGCTAATTATCGCTAGCAAGAGCGTTCTATCACGCGTTTTCAATTACTAGAAGAAGAAACCTACCGAATCGACGGTCTTCTAACCTCTTTACGCTATAAAGGCGAAGATTTACAAATCCTATAAGGGATAACAACTTCCCTAACTATAACTATCCCCTACGCGCGGTGCTAATTACGAAGCGCCTACTAGTTTCTTAATAAATCCCTAGACAAGGTGCTAACCGCAAGGCGCCTGCTATAAAAGACCTCCCTACTAGAAGAAAAATATGCTAAAAGGCAAGCGGAGACTACTAGCGGTAATCCGCCTATATAGCTATACGTATACGCCTCCGAGGCTACGGCTTAAGAGAAACGTACGTAGTTATAGGCGTTATAAGGCTAACTGTCTACTAGATTCTAAACTTCCTAATAGTAAGGAGCGAAGCTTGAAGCGAGAAAGAGAGATTTATAAGAGAATCTACAAATAGAGCGAAATTTACGAGAAGGATCGCCTATAAGTAGTATTACTACTAAAAGCTAATTAACAGTCCCTATCTTATAGAGAATCGAAAGTATAATCGATCTAGCAGTATAAGGCAACTAGGCAATCGACCTTATAAACGCTAGCTTATAGCAACTAGGTTCCTATATAGGTTTCCTACTTAAGACCTATAAGAAGAGGAATCTTACAAGCCTCGAGCTATAGAACGAAGTTTCTCCCGATTTCGCCGACTAGTTAGAAGAAGACTTCTAGAACGTACCTCCCCTAATCCTACGATTCTTTAGAGACTATTTAATCGGTAATAGCGTCTACGTCGAAATAGATAGTAAGAAAATCTCGAAAAACGTAGCATTAGCCTTTAAAAAGGAAGAATTCTACTACTAGTTACCTTAAGAACTCGAACAAGGCGTTAAGAGATATCGCAACCTGAAGGCTTTAATAAAAGACCCCGAATTCTACGAAGAGATTACGAGACTGGCAATAGTAGCTAATAGCATAGGAGGAAGAGTCGAACCAACCTTATAGCTACCTCCTCTATAAGAATAATAATAGTAGTAACTACCGTACCGACCGCTATATCCTACGGTCTCTCCGTTAATAGACTTCTAACTATACGAGTTAATAGACTGTATCGGAAAGTAATTAATAGAATTCGCGAAACTATACCCCGACGATATAAAATATAGCGGCGATATATACGATATACTCGAAAAGAAGATAACGTACATGATAAGCGAGTGAGACAGACAAGCGAGTGAGACAGTAAACCAGACCTTCGCGACAATAATATCGAAATCTATAACAAGAAATCTTAGATTGATTAATACTACTCGGATTCCTGTTCTTCGGATGTTTCCTCAATAAATTGACATGTTCTCGCGTTGTGGCCTGTATTCCCGCATACGCCACACCGACGATGAGTCGTCTCAGACCTCACTTTGCGACCACTACTCCGTCGCGTTTCCTCTTGTAGTTGCGTGTCTGCCTCTCTTTGCGACTGTATATCCTCTCCAGTAGATATAGTAAGACTTCCTCCTTTCTGTAGACGTGTTTTCTTAGCCCTTCGACGCCGACTTAATATTGCATTCTCCTCTCGAAGGATTTGAACCTCTGACTCTAGTAATGCTACCCGATGCCCTAGTCCTTCTGTCCCTCTGGCTAGCTTACTCACAGCACTATAAATTGATGCTGGAGAGCTGCTTCGGTGGCGTGAGATTCGACTCTTAATAAAAGTAGACTGTGATCTTGCTTCGCTTGGGTTGCTCGGCGTCCTAGAGATCCAAGGGTCTGGTGTCTGAGGGACCCCCTCCTCAGGCGTTGGCGTTCGGAACTTTACATCCAGCTTTGAGAGAACACTTTCTGCATTCAAAGGGACAAGTCCAGCTCCTCGGAAACCTCCCTGGATATTTTTCCTCGTAAAAGACTGCTTAAAAGCTTCGTGAAATGCTGCAAAGAAATCTTCCTTCGAGATATGGGTTGTGCCTCGCCGCATCTTATTCTCAATTTGCCGACCGTAGGCATTCTTTAACGGCTGAAAACAACCAACATCTAAGGGTTGAAGTAGATGAGACGAGTGAGCCGGCATGCACAGTGTAATAATGTTGTTTTCTTGACAAAAGAGCTCGAAGGCTGCGGAGTGGTGACTTTCATGACCATCAACAACGAGGAGGCGATATTTCCCAGACGTACGTGGTTTTGTATAAATGTCGAAGTGTCTGATCCAGTCAATACCTCTCTCGTTTGTTGTCCATCCATTTTCAGACGTTGCAATAGCCCAATCGCCCGGAAGAGAGGTTTCTGTATACCAGCTTGAGAGGTGATACTGGCCTGCAACGATGATGTATGGCGGGATGCTCTCCCCTTGGGAATTAATAGCCTGGATAACTGTAACCCATTCCCTATTGCCAGGCTGTGTCATCTTCGTATTTGAACGCCTTTCAGCACTTGTAACAACCATTCCAGAAGCAATAACGCCCATCATAAAGCCGGTCTCATCAAAGTTGTAGATATCAGCATCAGCAATACCATACTTCGCAATTGTATTCTTCACAAGCGAAAACCAGCCACGAATCACCTCTGGATCTTCGCATTGAGCTCTCTTATAGTCATACTTGCGAAAGAAACGCGTCCTAAGCTGTGGTTGTCGCTTGACGAAATTAGAAGCCCAGCGCTTCCCAACTGGAGGCGCGTCGCGCTCTGCGAGAAGTCGATTGGCCATTTCTTCCACACCACTCAGCCGGGGAGGAAATGATCGCGCATCTAGGTCGAGAATATACTCAACTATTGTCTTCTCTTCTAAATCTGATAAATTCCGTGAATTAGGCATGCTGTCGCGTCGTGAGACTATTCCCTTTAGTCGCCGGCTTAATGTTGCGTGACTGACTGTATAGAGTGCACCTGCGGCCCGAGCACTAAGTTTTGGGTCATTTCTCATTGCTTGAAGGGCAATTTGTAACCTTCTTTCAATACTAGCTGATTCCATGATTTATTGTAGAGGAAAAGGTGCCGGTCGCGTCAAGGTGCGACGGTCGCGGTTTACTGTCTCACTCGCTTGTCTGTCTCACTCGCTTATCATGTACGTTATTAGTATTCGTAGATTATTATAGAATGCTAGGAATTTATACCTCCTAATATAACAAGGTACTTCCCTTAATACTAAAAAGAATAGCTAAAACCTACTTCTACGCCTCGATTAAAGTAATTAACCTATAGCCTAACTTCGAGACTATGATTAACTAATTGAAATTATACTTCGAGACTAGGGAAAGGCAATAAGCGTACGTTACGTAGTAGAATATAACTACTCTTCCCTAAATCATTCGCGATAACCTTAGAAAGACTAAATCGGAGTATTTTAACATACTATATAATAAATTAAGCAAGATTTAGCCTGGTTTGCTATAATAGGATTATAACGACCGATCCCTCTATACCTAACTTCTATACGCTTATAGAGATATTCTAGAGTATATAATAGCGTTATTTATACCGGCTAAGACGTACGAGGGACTTTATAGCTAATTAATCTTGTCGATCGAGATAGCTACCTATCTTAACTAATAATAATTTAATATAGTAGCTAACCTACTAAAGTAGTACTAGACTGATAGAACTTTTAACGGTCGAGGGCGTTATTTACGATATAGTCGTTTATTACGAAGTCGATTATTACGAGGAAGAAGCCGTAATAGACCCCTATTACTACTAACGCTTAAGAAGTGCTACGTATTGTTACGGCCAGCTAACTGACAGTGGGTTTGTGTTAACAGTAAGCCAGGGATTGAGAGTAGTAACAGTCGTTCCGTGGTCCTGGTCGAATAGATCGTAGATCTTCAAAGGTCTTGGTGATCAGTCAAGGCCTCAACAAGAGTCGTAGAGTAGTCGTCACTTAGGTATAGCTGAAAGTACCGGTTAGGGTAATCACAAAGTTGATTGCTGAAGAGCTATGGAAGTCTGTCCTCGAGCCCGGCTCGAGTCCATCCTATATACAAGTCCTGAACGGTCCTCCTTATCTTGGCTATGTTGGATATTTGACATATCCAACATATCCGGGGATCGGTTGGATATTTGA